AAAAAAAACTTGTGAAGTAAAAAATGCATGGTAAACCTAGTAACTCAGTAGCTCATGATTAAAGGTTGAGAGTGAAAGTTATATTAAAATGATGATGGGTTTTGGCGATCAAGAACATGCAGTGGAAGGCCCTATGATTTTACGTTTTACTGTCTTGCTAGAGTTAAATCGTTAACTTACAAGAGATATATTTTTTAAACTATTTTAAACTAAATAAATTGTCGAAGTGTATCGTTAAAATTACATGATAATGTTAATATATTCATCTATTAATTATGTTGCAGGTCGTTGGATATTCGGCAGCGTTCTATGCCACCTGGTGCCTTACGCACAAGCCACGAGTGTGTACATCAGTTCGTTCACGCTCACTTCAATAGCTGTGGACAGATTTTTTGTCATCATCTATCCATTCAAACCGAGGATGAAGCTGACGACCTGCGTCGGGATCATCGCGTCCATCTGGGTATCGTCGCTCGTCCTGACTCTCCCGTACGGCATATACATGCACCTTATGGGAGAACACCTGTGCGAAGAAGACTGGCCTTCGGAAAACTTCAGACAGGTAAAGAAACTGTGTTAAGATAAAAAATTTATTATTTCAATAAGCTTAAATCAAATATGTAACCACAGGAAGATGTGTTATCGTAGGTTGTTCAATTTTTGACTAAAACGAGAGACAATGTAGAAAGATGTTGCCACAACGATAGCACAACTAGTTCGTTGCTTAGAAGCAAAAAAAAGAGAAATATTTAGTCGAAAGTATATAAAAAGTTTGACCATAAATAGCTTAAGGACCTTTTAACTAAATTAACAGCGTCTTAGCCGTTGTTGAAGTGAACGGGGAGAAGGTAATAAAATATATTAACATTCTCCAAAAGAATTTTCGCTATAAGTAACCGCTGTTTGAAACAAACCACCATTTACATTCAACCGTCTTGAAGTTTTGAATAGAAATGAGATAGCTTGTATCGGCGTTCGCTAAACTTCCACTCTTCTCGGGCCTGTATAAAAACTTAAAACTTATATACTCTGGAAAAATATTTTTTTTCAATATATACACCCAAAGACACAAACAAACCGGATACTTGCATTTATTTTACATAATAACTAGGTTTAAGATACAACGTTAACTTAAAACTTAAACACAACATTAATACCTTGCAGTTAGCTTTATAAATGTTTCTAGTCTTTTTACAATCTTTTGATTAAAAATAAAGAAAATCTGTTCACTTTCAACCTTTCTAGAGCCAACTTGTTGAGCGATTCAATTGTATTTTTAAATTTTTTTCTTTGATGAAATATCAAAATTTGAGTAAGAAATTAATTTTTTCTTAAAAGCATTTAATTGGAGAGACTACACCCAGCCAGAAGTCTGGCCATGGACGAACGTAGCGTACTTCCATATCCCACGTTCCGGGTGTGGTGCGCTCCACGATGGTCTACAGCTGTTTAAGGCTTCCGGTAGTCTCCATTGACCCGCGGCTATAGACGATCGTTTTATTCCTCTTACCGCACTACGGAAGCGTCATTTTACGGCTTCCTTGATGGGTAATCAATTCCAAACGGTCGGCAATATAAAGGTAAGTTCTAAAACAATCATCAGAAGGCTCCGGTAGAATAGCCTGGTCACTAGATGTCCCGCATCAGGATTTCCACTACTACAGAACCATCGAATAAAATGGCGACTATTCGCAAATCAGCATCACGTTTGGATGTTTGACCATTGGGAGGCTGTTTTCTTCACAGATGGGTGCCGGATGGTTTGAGGTAATCTGATGGCCGGGATGTGGAGAATGGTTTGTTTCATGAGCCATGCGTGATAAACCTCCTTTTAAAGTACAGTTATGTTATGTGGAAGAATCATGCCCGTAGCGAACTGATTATTATTCAAGACGGATCGTTGACTTTAAACAAGTTCTTCTCGAAGCTGTGGTCCTAGTCGCACCAATTATTGGGGACGACTTCTTGAAAATGGTGGATAATCCTCGACGGAATATAGCTCGAGTTGGCCTCCATTGCTTGAAGGATGTACGGATTACCGCAATGAATTGATTACCAGCCATTCTCCTGACATGAATTCTACAGAATATATTGGGCACATGATAAAGAGATGGGTTAGGCATCGTTCGCCGCTTCCAAAAGCGGCGAACAGATTCAAACCGCTTGAAGAGAGAAATAAATTGTTTCCCCTTTCTGTTATAATTCAACAAATGTTATGAAATAACATTACATGATTTATGCAATAAAAAATTTATTGACGACGTTTGCAATATCTTGTTGACTTATTTGAAATACATTAAAATGACCATTATATGATAATTCATTAGAGTTCATGGTCCGATTGACCGAATAACGTTATTCAATTAATTAATCTTTATATAAGGTATTGGCTGAGATAAAAAAGTCAGTGTCACGAGCGGGATTCGAACCCACGACCTTCAGCTAAATACGCCGCTGCTCTACCACTTGACCTAGATCACAAAATCTAATGGATTTAATAAGTAACATGAACTATATCTTCACTAAAGCTCTCCGTGGCCATTTCATTTGTCGCCTAGAATCGAATAGATTACACGACATTTGAAAAATGGCAAAAAGGAGGGAAAATTCGAAAGGTGGGTTGAGATGAGAAGTTGGTGTCCGAGTAGTCTGAAGTCACGATAGCTCAAGTGGTAGAGCAGCGGTGTATTTAGCTGAAGGTCGTGGGTTCGAATCCCGCTCGTGAGACTGACTTTTTATCTCAATCATTGCTTTACTTAAAGATTAACTTATCTTTTACGTTTATAATTTTTTATTTTAACATTTATCAAGTCAGTTAGTGTTTTTGTAGGTTTTATACTTTTCGTCTACACCTTTATGTGAAAATAACTGAAAAATAATAAATAATGTAAAATTCCGAGTTTTATTCACAAGCATTTTATTATTTTATCTCATATTTTTTATCATATAATATCTTATATTCTGACTAGCTAGACATGCATAATTTTCCATTACCCTAAAAATATAAAAAGTCAAAATAATTTTTATGTAGCATTAAAACTGTCAAAATTTATAATAATTTACAATTACATCCAATTTTTTAAAAGTCAACGGTTTTTTTATATTGTACATACATTAAACTACAAATAATATTTTAATAACCGTTTTAAATCACTTAATCAATAAAGAGAATCGAATAGATTACACGTCATTTGAAAAATTAATTAATTGAAAGAATTGATTTGGTCAATAGACCACTAAATATAATGGATTATTTATTAATACAGGTATAAATTTTAAAAAAACTTATGAAGTCCATAATGCATGGTAAACATAGTAACTAATTAGCTCATGATTAAAGGTTGAGAGTGAAAGTTATATTAAAATGATGATGGGTTTTGGCGATCAAGAACATGCAGTGGAAGGCCCTATGATTTTACGTTTTACTGTCTTGCTAGAGTTAAATCGTTAACTTACAAGAGATATATTTTTTAAACTATTTTAAACTAAATAAATTGTCGAAGTGTATCGTTAAAATTACATGATAATGTTATTGATTTATAATAAATAGCATATTGTAGTATTACGTTATTCCTTTATTCTTTATAATCCATATAAAAAGAACCAGTTATCGATTAGTTTATTAAAATGAAATTTCGTTTTTAAAAAAGTGAGAAATATTCTCTAATTTATATTAATATTAACCATTTATAAAATATTATAAGCGTTAAAAAAATTAAATTCATTTCACTTTTTAAAATTTTGTCTTTTCTCTCCCGTACATTTAAGTACTGGAATCGACTATTATATTTCTTCTATTTAACAAAGGACAGTGCAAGAAAATCTGTTTGCTGACGAGCAGGATCTTCCTATGATAAAATGTGCTTATACGTGACAACAGGGTTGGTAGAAAGACCCTTTTTATTTGCTTCATTTTTTCCCGCTTACAGAACCTTACATAACCAGATTGCATATCATGTTTTTCTCCGCCCCCTCACAAAGTGCTCGTTCTCTTCCCTCTTCGATAAATACTGACATAATACACTAAATATATTGATAATGGTGACTAAGTTAAGCAGTAGATGTGGCTTTGAGAGGGCGAATTAGGGAAAAAGAGAGAGGGAATTCTTATGAAAAAGAGGGAGAGAAAAACTTATGAGAGAAAAAAATTTTAGAAACATCATATGGATTGAAGAATGAGAGAGATATGAACATAAAGTGATAAGGATAGTTTGAGATAGTTAAATAGATAAATAGATGATAAAGAGAGTAAAGCTTAAATCAGATTTCTGAGTTTTACTGAAATTTAACATCTCACTTGTAATATACAATATATCTGACCTAACTTAATTGAATTATAACAATGTATAATTTCGTTTTACAATAACTACAATTTAAAAAAACCTTTTAATGTGTGATGTTTAGTGACCGTTAGTCAATGATTATTGGAAGATCGTGAGATGCGGTCTGGTGTGACGTAGGTTTTAGAAAAACATTTTCTTTATCGTGCCAACGTCGATCTTTATCGAGATCATCTTCAGGGCTCAAAGTGTTTGTTTTTCGTGTAGATGTGTCATTCTTGCCTATCGTGTTGAAAGTCGGGTCAACCTATAAATGTTGATGCACATACATAAAAGAAAAAATATATAAATATATAATAACATTTAACAATTATATTAGTGCACGTATTTGTCAAAGAGTATTTTGTAGAAAAAAATTATTAAATTGAAATAAAAAAATAAAAAACAACACAGTAAACTAAGATTGTTACAAATAAATGAGACGTAGGGAGAGAGAGTGAGTGATTGAGATAGTAACAGAAAAATCTTTATTTCTAATAAGAGAAAAATAGAGACCTGTGAGAAACGATGAATGAAGAGATAAAGACAAATTAAAAAGAGGATGAAGAGAGGAAATATCAGTTAAAACATCATGCATAAATAGCTTGAAAGAAAAAGAAAGTGATAAAGAGAAAAACAGAAGAGTAATAAAGCGTGACTGAACGCGAGGTACGTACAAAGATTTGAGGTTGTGATAAAAACATGATGTGATAGAAACATGACACATAACCAAATTTAAGAAACATAACCATTTTCGAATTGCGTAGTCTCTTAATGTAAAATACACTGTTTTGAACCCATATTAGGTACCGAGCAGATTTTTAGTATATGTGTGAAAGATATTTCCAATCCATTTAACCGATTGCAAAACGATGCGGTTAGGTTATAATCGAGGTTTGAACTTAATTATAAAAGCGGACTAATCCAGCCTTTCAAGCTGTAAAGTGATTTAAGTTAGTTCAGCATCGGGCTTCAAAACTTATTAATCATCGGCCGGGCTCATTTTCTGAAAGTTGGCAAAATTAATGGTAGATTCATTATCGGAGAGACGTTCATCGTCGAGGACGTGGGCGGGAGACATTCATCCACTTATGTCAATGTTTTACAAGTCGCTCGAGTCCGCTCGCGTTAAGATTTAATTACCCCTTATTGCCAAACCAAAATTATACGATATTATGCTCTCCAAGCTTGTCGAAACATGGCGGCACCGCGGTTTTCATAATAACTCGAAGATAAATAGCGG